TAATAAGTAATGATAAATGATGGTTAATTTTTTTTTTACTTTTTGTGTGTTTCTTCCTTTATTTATTTCAAATACAAGTATAGTTAGGATAAATTTTGGAGCAAATTTGAATGCTCAGAATGCAGGAAATGACATTTCCGGGAGTCAAATTTCAAAACTTTTCTGGGGGAGACACCCCCAAACACCCCATTCATGAGTGGTATATTTGCCACACACGTGGCTTTCAGCCATTGCTATCGGCCCTCTAATATATTATCTCACAGAAAGGTCCCTTTTCAAAAAATGCCCCCCCCCCCCACAGGAAAATCCTTAAAAAAGGCCCTGCACCTGAATCCGCAGTAACTGTATATTTATTATTAACTAAACACCCAAGTATCTCCCTCGGGGTCACTAGACAGAGAAAATAATAAAGATAGGACAATTGCGCATATTGACGACGCAGTCATCAGAGCAAGCGCCTTTCACCTCTGAGGTCGTGGCGGTTCGACTCTCGCCACGGACTCATGTGTGGACTCTTGTGAAAAGAGTCAGTCAACGTTCTGCCGAAAGTCGTGGGTTTTCTCCGGGCTATCTGGTTTCCTCCCACAGGAAAAGTTGACAGGGTGGGTTAGGATAAACACAGTTAAGAAAGTAATATCACAATTGTTGTAAAGACAAAATGGTCTAGGCTAAGTACACACGTAAAACGCCCAGGTTGATGCAATATTGATGAAAACAGGATTGAACAATGTTTTGCTGCCCACATTGTTCACAGTAAGGCTCAACAATATTGTTCAATATTGAACAACGTGGGCAGCAAAACATTGTTCAATCCTGTTGAGCAGCGGGCTCGGCGTTTTTTGCTGTGTATGTAATTAGGTAAGCGTAATACTTAATGTAAAGCGCATTTGATCATATCACATGGAAATTTACGATACAGAGATGTATACACTTACTATATTTATCCATGACGTATATGTCTAACCAACGACTCGTCTACTTGTTCCATACCGTCGACCAAATTCGCTGGAACAGCGGAATCTAGAAATATTTCGTAATATTTAAGAGCATTGCATTAGACTCTCGCTTCTTCAAACTACCATAATTCACCACCAAAGATGAACAATCACAGATAAAACGTTGTCTACTCTCATGCGAAACTTTCATGTTTCAAGCGCTCATTTCTTCGCGATCCTAAACTTGACTTAATGGAACTTGAACTAAGCTTAAACTAAACTTAACGGAACTAGGCTTAAACTAAACTTAAACTAAACATTATTCTTCCATATCTTCTTACCGATTTTCTTTGGATAATCTAAGTTCAGGTTTTCCATGATCTTGATAAATTCTTCTCGGTTCTTGGACAATCTCGGATTATGAACTTTCTCTTCTTCAACTGATGTCACAGTAAGACCTAACAAAATGTGTTTGAACTTGTGTCAACTTTTTCAGTTGATACTTCAAATGCAGGTAAAACAAAACAGTAACAGAATACAGGGTTTGAAATTTCAATGTAAGTATAACACACGTCATTGGTCCTGTAATTACCGGCAGGCGCTCCAGCAACATATTGTACAATTTGATGGGCAGTTTCCATGCGTAGAACAATGAGACACTCCTAACCATTGTACTACCCGCACCCCAGCCTACCCACAGTGTCAAACTGCACGCAGGCTACCCCCATGCTTGGCGTGAGTGAGCCAGGATTTTAATACCTTGGTAGTCATGTCCAGGATAAAGTAGAAAGTCTGATGATAATGAAAATATCTTCTCGTGAACCGAGTCATACAGTCTGGAAGCATCACCTGGAACCACAGAAACAATACATATTATTCATGTGCCCACAACAGGCAAATAAGCCTATGTTTGAACATTATGAGGTCATTTCCAAACTGCAACACCAACCTTGTTGAAAATCTGTTCTGCCACAAGCACGTATGAGCAGTGCATCCCCAGTGAATGCGATCTGGTTTGCAAGACTGACATATGTTGTACAACCTGAGCAAACAAATAAACAAAGTATTTGAACAATATGCATTTCTTATGATTGCTTGGCTTTATAGCTGTATTATAAAAACAATATGTCTGTCTGTTTCTTCATACCATAGCCTGGGCTACAATTGGGGTTACCAGTTAGGGTTACACAGTAATGAATCAGTTTATAGCCTTGTTGCAGTCAGGCTTGGGTTAGAATTAGGATAAAATTAGGATAAAGTTAGGATAAGGATCAAGGTTTGAGCAAGGATGGGATTAAGGTTACAGTTTCTTTTCTGGCTGGTTAAGGTCAACTAATTGCATTCCAAATTTGATTCTGTCTAATTGCATAAGAGTTCTTTACCATTCGTATGTCCAGGTGTGAGGCGACATTCTAATGCTTGATCACCAAACTCTATCACATGACCATCGTCAATGAGAACATCAGCCTGTCCACCAGCGGCCTTGGACAGAACACTTTGACATGACGGGATGAGAGCTTTCAGCCATCCAGTGCCAGTGATATGGTCTGCATGTACATGTGTGTTCACTGTAGTCAAAACACAATGGAGACAGTTGAAATATTGTGGTTATAAATATTGATACCATTGTACAGATGGTGGTCACAGTGGTAGCATAACAGTTATTATTTTGGGGGCTAATCTCCAAAAATTGTCCAACATATAAAAAATTTTCATATTTCCTGAATTTTCTCTCTAATTTATAACTTGTCCAATTTTTATATATAAACTTCAAAATTTGGCATCTTATTTGTTTTTTTCTTTTTTTTTTGGGGGGGGGGG